AGGGCTCATCATCAGTTGGGGATTTTAGTCGAGTCCCACGAGCCCTTTCCCCCCTTTTTTTAGGGACCCCCCTCCGGTTCCCTACTCATCGAGCTGTCGAGCGAGGGAGGAAATACGACCCACCTCTTTACCATTTCTTAGACTTTCCCCTACTTTCTTCCTCTTTTCCAGAGTTTCCCGAAGATTTTCCTACTGTTACCCAAAAATTTTGTTGTCGAGCGGGGAGGGGGAGGAGTTGCATAGTTACACATGAAATAGGAAAACCATGAAAAGTTAGCAACCTTTCTCAGAAGGTCAGGGGACAAATACGACGCCCCCCTTTTTAGGACGTACCCGAAACAAGAAAATCAACTATCAATTTTTTTCTTAGCTTAAAAACGACCATACGACCCCCCTCTCCAGGCGATCAAATATGGCTCCCCTCTTGGGGAGTCTCCAACAGCGATGTGCACATTTCAGCACTATTCTTCAGTACATGCACGTGAAGTGCATAGCACAGCTAAGCCGTTACAGTATTGGGAGATCGATCGTAGCGCATGTTTGGCTGTCTCATTTCTTACTTGAAAATGACGCGTTGATACTCCCACTTCATAAAAAATATACTCGTGTTTTTGCTCACATACCTCGTCCACTTATTTTTGAACTGCTCTGCACTTTATGTGGCTTTGTATATGCCTAATGTTATACAGGTTTGCGGGAGAGGAAACACACTTTTTGAATTCATGTCACAATGGATGTGCAAAGGGCACGGGAAGGACTTGAAAGACATGAATGGCACGCAAAGAACACTTAGGTTCCGCCAGAACACCTTAAGACGCATTGCCAGATGTCTGACTTTTGCTTCTGGGCAACTTTTGAGTCCAACAAAGTAGCGTCAAGAGGTCTAGGTCCAGGCCACGACATAAGTTGGAGAATCCGCAGCGGGGGAGGGGGAAGGAAGGGGCCGCATTTGATCACAGGACGGAGGGGGGGGGGGAAGATCGTGTTTGGTCTCAGAAGTATTTTCCGTTGATATTTGATTTTTCCTGCTTCACTTCCAATTCCAATGGGAAGTAGGGGAGGCAAGTGATAGATGTCCTTGAGTGAACTTTGAAAAGTGAAGAATCTTTTTCCGGTCGTTGCCTTAACGCAGGTTCACCCGATTTACTGGTGCTATATATCTGGTGAAAAATTGGAGAATGGATGGAAATGGGAGCAGGAGTCGTAGCAGCGACGAAATTGGGGGATCGCATTTTCTAGAAATAGCCTTAGCGGCAGGACGTGCCTCAGGGGAGTCGGTCTTTGTTTACGCTCCCCCTTGCAGAACTTGCAACGGTGCGGTATCGTCTTCCAACTATTTCACTTCATTTTCCATGGTTTCAAGCGATATGTGAACATTTACTCGTAATGATACAGCAGAGGAACAAGTTTCACTTGTAAATTTTTGTATGCACCAAATGAGACTTTTTTTGATATATCATCTTTTACGAAATCTCATGGGAAGTGGGCTCCACTGGAGAATTGAATGGCTGTCAATAGCTCTTTCGACTAACTTCTCGCTAAAGCACATTTCCAAGCTTTTTGCCTTCAAAGGTAACTATCCTCCCTCCGGCAAGCCTCCGGCGACGCCTATGGGCACAATGATCTCTTAGGCTTCTTATCTCCTTCCAATATTCGATCTGTGTTTCTGCTTTAAGACTCAATGGACTTTAAAACAACGTTACAACCGATGCCTTCGATTTCCTTTCTTTCGATTGGAATAGGTGTACCTTCTGGCCTCAGTTCTCTCAGTTCATGTTCAGGACCCTTCAAAGACAAACGATACATTCATCTCCGAGTACAATACTTGCCCTGCGAGAACTGAATGGATCCACGTCACAGCAGTGTGATACAATCACCATCTAGAAAAATGCACAGGGAGTGGGAGGGCAGTGATGTCTGGTTGCTCATTCCAACTCCACTGGGAGCAGAACCCGGGTATCTCAAGGGGCAGCACTCGTGTCAACTCCAAAATCCCGCAGCGAACACGCAGCCAGAGGTAGAGAACAACCAGAAGAGAAAGAGCCAAAAAAAGTGCGTTTAGTTATGGTTAGGTGTGCGGCAGCGCGAGCCGGGAAAAGCTACTCGAGTAGAACTACCTCCAGTCCTTCCCGTGCACTTTTACCGAAGAAAGTGGCATGCTACTGCACCTGCAAATCCATTCTCTTCACATATATCAGGGACTGTCGTCGCAAGTGATTACAGTCTCTTTATAGGTGTCGGTAGCTTTTCAGATTAGTCATTTCATACCACAGCTCCTTTGTTAATTTTAGAACTCAGACCTAATTTTGAGCAATTCTTCTCACCCAAGATCTATTTAAAGGCAGCGCCCATGTTCCTACGCCCTTTCTGGATATCATAGCCCTCCCCATAAGGATGCAGTATGTACTAGTTTTGCATCTCACAAAGGCGAGAGGATAGCGCCTATCGCTAGTAAAGAGTCGACCGCCCCGCCCACCTGGCGACCACGACGCCCAACTTCATTTCTAATGGTTGCCTGATGGTGCGGTTGTTCCATTGCTGCTTCTCTCCACGTCGTGTGGTGAGAGTGAGGTGATAAGGGGAAACAGCTGAAATCAACAAGTGAGAACTCGTGCAACCACTCCTTCTCTTCGCCTTAAAGACACATGGTACGCTCAAACACATTGAGGGTGTATGAGACTATCAGCCCCCCAGCTGTCGATGTGTCGTGGTCCCCCCGCCCAAAACTGCACGGGGTCAGAGTA